CAGATCATTACTATAGTTGATGAGTTACCATAGTAACTGCAGAATCACCACAGTAGATCAATTACGATAGCTGTGGTTGTGTTACCACAGTAACTGTGGAATCACCACAACAGATCAATTATTGTAGCTGTACCATAGCAACTGTTACCATAGCAACTGCAGAATCACCACAACAGATCACTTATCGTAGTTGTTGTTACCATAGAAATTGTAGAATCACCACAACAGATCAAGTACTGTAGTTGTTGTTACCATAGCCAGTTTAGAATCATCACAATATATCAATTAAAGTAGTTGTGATACCATAGCAACTGTAGCATCACCATAACTGATCAATTATTGTAGCTGTACCTTAGCAACAGTTATAGCAACTGCAGAATCACCACAACAGATCAAGTACTATAGTTGTGTTACCATAGCAACTGCTGAATTACCACAACGGATCACTTACTGTAGTTGTTGTTACCATAGCAACTGTAGATTCACCACAACAGATCAATTACTGTAGTTGTTGTTACCATAGCAACTGTAGATTCACCACAACAGATCAATTACTGTAGTTGTTGTTACCATAGCAACTGCAGCATCACCACAACAGATAAATTACTGTAGTTGTTGTTACCATAGCAACTGTAGAATCACCACAACAGATCAATTACTGTAGTTGTTGTTACCATAGCAACTGTAGAATCACCACAACAGATCAATTACTGTGGTTGTTGTTACCATAGCAACTGTAGAATGACCACATCAGATTAACTCAAGTACTTTACTATATAGGATGGTTCCAAAACACTACAGTATTTACTATAGGGTTACTATTGTATTATTTTAATCGTATTTTTCTAACGCTACATTAATAAAAACATCAAGTATGTCAGCGATGTGGTTTATGATATCGATGTATTAATTTAAAATGTTTTGATTGTAATTTCAGCATGTGCCGAAAGCGTGTCAGCGATGTTGAGCTCAACTTCAGCCCATACAGGTAATGCAAAACTACCTACTGTTCATCTACTGCCGCTGAATCTGTTTTAAAACTCACAGTACATGCATCATATATCTTAATATGCGCTTCATAAAGATAATTCTACAGCGCGGTTTGCCTAATTTGATTCAGTTTTTTTCTCAGTACAGCTCTAAAATAGCATTAGGATGCTAATGTTGTGATTTACATTTGTGTGCGTTTGTGAGTGTGTGTGTTGATCTACGGCTGTATTTTGCTTAGAGGGTTTCTATTTCATTTTTCTGAATTTACAAGCCAGTAGAAACTAGATTTGTGCTTTAAATGCATGTTGCCAGATAAATGCTTTATATCAGCACTGTTATGAACAAAAAAACAGCGGGTGTGATAAAAAAAACTGCAGAATAAACTAGGATTGTTCAATTAAACTGCTTAAATTGAGCATATTTGTTGTATTTTCTTTATGAAATCATCCCTGATGGAGTCAGTCAGGCTTAGTGTTTATAATCAGTAATAAAAAATAGAAAATGTTTCACCACGAACTCCAGATCTTTGTGTACTGAAAACTGTGTGAAGTGGATACCTGTAAATCTAAGCTGCTCTGAATTTACTATTTTTATTATGATCTTCACATAATAAGTTGAAGTGTATATATATATATATATATATACATACACTTCCGGTCAAAAGTTTGGGGTCAGCCTTTTCCTGCTGACCATGGCTGCATTTATTCCATCCAAAATACAGTACACATAGTAAAATAGTGAAATGTTATTGCACTATAAAATAACTGATCAAAAGTAGTTCATAATTTAATGTAATAATTTATTCCAGTGATTTCAAAGATGCATTTTCAGCTTCATTACTCCAATCTTTAGAGCTACATGATCCTTCAGAAATCACTCTAATATATTGTTATTATTAATGGTAGTATTAATAAAAACAATGACTGGAGTAATAATTTTATTCGAAACTACATACAATAAGAAAGCAGTTGGTTTAAATTGTAATAAACATTTACCATTTTTTTTTACATTTAATACATGCCGCCTTGATGAACAGAAAAATTTTCTTTAAAAAAGAAAACAGAAAAAAAACTGACCCCAAACTTTGACCGTTGACACACACTGTGTGTGTATATTATATATTGCTGGATAAGTTGGCTGTTAATTCCGCTGTGACGACCCCAGATTAATAAAGGGACTAAGCCGACAAGACAAATGAGTGAATGAGTATGAACAAACAATAAAATAAAAAGAGTGTTTGCAACCTCCTGAGGGTGAGTAAATAGTGAATAACTTTTCTTTTTGGTTGAACTCTCCCTCTTTACTTTTTGCGAGAAGATGTTTTAAAGCATTGTAAGCAGTATCCTGCATGTTCATTTTTTTAACTCCCGTGTCCACCGAAGCAAAAGTGAACGGCTTCGAAAGTAAAGGATGAAAGTTGTCCTCCAGCCCCAGATGTCAGATCGCTCCGTTTTACTGACACTCTGTGTACCAACAGCGGTCCTTCCACCCACTGACTTTCTTTTTGTTTGCACTCAATTGTCCAGGATGAAACAGTTTTGTTCCCTGAAACGTCCCTTGAATCGTTCCTCCACCAAAGCAAATGAGATCTGAGGCTCCAGGTTGC